ATGCTATTAATAGTGTTAACATTATACTGAATATTATGTGGAGTTTAGGTATTTATTCAAGTGACGCTAAACAACATTACCCTGAGGTGTTACTCACACGAGGGGCGGCGTAGGAGTAAGTCTCCCGGCTGTCTGCTGCTGCCAGGGCGGCCATGGCCAAGACGATCAAGACCTGTGGGCATAATACTTGTATGAATGTAATTACTGGACGTTAAATGAGTACAAACTTCATATCGTATAACTGTTGTATATATGACTATACTGATGAAGGTGAAGCAGTATTCACCTTAGTGTTCATGGTGTGTGTTGTGTTGTCACGATGAACTGAATGTCGGTCCCTCAGCCTCTGTTCATTATATACCACCGCGTCAGACCTGGGCCGTCCAGGGTCAAGTTCTTATGTATGTTAGCTAATTTGTGGAGTCTTAACGTGAAGGTCGGATGGCGTAAAGCTGTACTACCGCCAAGGATGTGTGTGTGTGTGTGTGTTATTATGGATAAGGATATTTGATTGGTCATAGTAAATCATGTACATGATCATAATACATATAAATGATTAGCTTTATACATCACCTAACCTAACCTAATCCAATCTTACCTGATCTTTAGGTACAATTTAACTGTCTTATGGCAGTAAACGAAGTTCTAAAATCTAAATGAATCAAAAATGTTTTACCATATACGAGATGTAGCAACATTAACAAAAGCACATCAGAACCTGTAATATACACAGATAAGTCAATGCAAGGAATTATCCCTATTTGGCAAAGCATTCGTTGTTTATCAAAGCTTTCTCGGCGATTATATCTATATAACGTGATATACTGTATACTAAAGTAGCTTGTGTGAAGAAGTGTGTGGTAACCAGTTTTAACGGCAATGTTGAGTGATCTTAAATATTAATGATCTCGGACCTTACACCTGAAGTATTGTGTCTTAATTATATCAAAACTCTCGATATTTTCTTAAAGTGGTGATCATGACATACAGCCAGATGAGGCAGGAGGGATGGGTGTAAACAGAGGCAAGAAGCTGGTGTCTCGAGGACTCTGCATGATATTACTTTCTGAATAATCATTAAATATGAATTCTCTTGTCGTAATCTTCTTTATTTTTTATACTATGCAGGATTAAGTTTCTCACCCCGCTGCATCATTTAATTTTAAGTATTATAATTTTATTACTTCTATCATCTTTTGATCTTTATCTGAAATTAAATTTTACGATTTGTCTCTGGAAAAAACGGAATTATATTATATTCCTGTCTAGCAATAACACTAGTTATCTCACACACGTATTCTTGACGGTAGCACAGCTTTACGCCATCACGTTAAGACCCCTCCGGCAACGACTTCGGTCACCAGGAGACCCGCGATGGTGACGACACCCAGGGGTCGTACTACGTGCAGCTTCCCGACGGTCATCTGCAGACTGTGACCTACGTCGTAGACGGTGACTCAGGCTACATTGCTGATGTCAAGTACGACGGAGAGGCTCGCTACCCGACTCATACGAGTCCTTCGAGTCCTTCGAGTCCCGGGAGGCTCCCCGCTACTACAACTCCAACGAGTCCAAGTAGAGACATGGCTGAGAACATCCCTTCGACGATATACTGTCTTCCCTGAAATGGATCATTAATTGTGCATGTTGCACAATATCTCGACCTGTCATAAATTGTTGTATTTATTTACAAATTGATAAATTATTATTGATGGCAATATGTCATTCTTATTCATATTATTCTATATTTTCTGTAGACAATGTCGGTGGCCAACAGGTGGGTCACACACTCAAGTAGAAAGCAGAAAAAATGAAATAAGCAGCAGACATAAAAAGGGAAGGTTAACTTGAGATCCTTCTGCACCAGTGAGCGAGGCGCCACCTCCCAGTAATCACAGGTGGACGGTGATGGCGAGGCTGGCCGGCGGGTTCCCTCCACACAACTCGGCTTAACTCTTTTATAAATAAATATCTTTATCACAAATATCCTGGCGTCTTTAGCTAACACCACTGTAGTGAAGGTAATGACATACAAACTGGTATAGCCTAACAAAGATGTAATGAGTAGTTCCTTGATAAATACTGTAAATAGAAATCAGAGGAGCACTTTGGTATACTGTTGAGGATACGGAACTAAACTAATAGTACATAATTATACGATTTTGTCCAAATAAAAACTGTTTCATCCCATAACAACACAAGTTAAGCTACGAAAAAAATCATGTTACTTCACTGTGGTTTAATCATCAAGATTGTGTCAAGCTAACTATCCAAAATTTAAAGACCTTTCAATACTACGCCCTCTTACGACACAGAATCATTAACATATGAGCAGACTGAGCTGATACAACGTGATTTTATTAGGTTGTAAAAAACACCAATTGGCGACCTGTATAAGAGTATGTCCCCAGAGCTCCTTGTCTAATGTTACTTACTGATTTTTTAGGAAACTTATCATGAAATTTTAGGAAACTTGTCATTAATAATCGTATATGTCATAATATATCACGTATGAACTGCATTAAGCGAGGATAGTTAATGTAGATGAACGAATTGATAGCAGAGAGAAGCTTATGTGGGCTTATGGGGTGCTGCCTCTCTCCTCCCCTTACATTATAACCAACAGATGATGGAGTGTGTACGCCTTCACTATAGCCCATCATGACAGGGAGGTACTCAGAATATGGAACTGTTTGTAAATATCAGTAATAATTTAGCTGCAGCAGGTTTAAGGAACAACAGATACCAGGCAAGTGACAGAGTAATAGCCTGGGTCTACCTCACACCACCTCTGCCTTCCCCACACATTCAACCATGTAATGTTCGAAGCTCATTTTCAACAGATGCCGGTGTGCTAATAACTACATAATGTAACTTACTTTAGCCTAATCTAATCAAAGTTAACCTAATTTAGTCTAAGCAGTAACTATTTTATGAGAAACAATTTAATAAAAAAATATGCAATATATCCAAACTACTGAAACACACGAGTAACAACACCCAATAGCAACAGTTGGGTATGAATCGGCTGCTTGTGCAATTAACCAGGCCGTTCACATATATTTATTATTTGGGTTTAAGTAACGAAACCCAAACGGTAGTTCCTTTGTTTTATTATAAAAGGGTTGTACATATAATTCCTGAGTGATAGATCGACCGTAAGTCCCACTGTCTAGGAGTGAATGAGAAAGGGACGGCGTTTATGTATTATAAACGTTAGGTCACGTCCTTACGATATAAGTTGATGTGAGCGACTGAAGCTTGAGGGCCTCGCAGTGCGGGCTTATAGAAATGCTGACTATGGGACTCGCCCTCTTGGGAGAGTTGCTCGCTCACGTGTCCAACTCATGTCTTACTCATAGACAGTGGAAAGTTACAGGATGGTGAATCTGAATATAATATCAGATGTATTGACCCATTTATATAATATGTTCTGTTGATGAGACAGGGGCCCATTACAGGTAAGATCTCAAACTACAATGCGAGGAATTACTTCAAGGACTAAGGAAGAGAAGAATCAGTGAGCAGATCAAGTTGCAAAATTAACACATAGACAGTAGACCAAGGAGAGCCTCACCCCCAAGCCCACGACGCAGAGAACCATCGTCTACTGCTTGGATTAGTGTGATTAGAAAGTTATAAGATGTTGAGTGGTCAGGAAGTAGTGAGGCGTTAATGATGGTGGAAGTGACAGGGTGGGGGCTGAGGAGCCTTCATCCAGGGGTGAATTGGTACAGGGTAAGGATCTCTCTCGCGTGTGTGTGTGCTCCTAAAATAATTGAAATCACTCCACTATTGCACCTACCTCACTATATCACTCCTACATATATATAAACCCTCTCTAATGCAAATACAATAGGACCATTAGAAATCGTAGACTAAGAAATACTAAGAGTCAAGGCTCGGCAACGCCCCTGGTCTTTCATTAGTGATGAATTCTTACAATGTTGCCAAATATGAACCAGATTGTGTAGGAAGTAAAGGTCAGGAGAGGCGACTGAAAACACGAGAGTCCATAAAATCCTTGAAAGGTTACTCTCGCCTGAACCTATAACATGGGATAGTTTCTTTGGCCTTAAGAGTAAAGTATTTCCCTGCTATTATAATGTAGTTGGTGGATGGGTGATGAATACATGACCCCATTTATACATTTATAATACGTACGCATACACATTCCTCCACATACACACACACGTATACACAGAAGCACACATGTTCCATAGCAAGCTTACATATATACACGATTACACAAATACCCTATACAAACGTTTACATGAAATCACCCATTCGTACCAAGAAACACACATAGTTACACACACATACATACACAAACACACACACACACACATAAACGTCCCCCACACACACGTACATACACATACATTTAGATGAAACAAACATTTGACTCAAAACAATAAACATAAGTAAGTAACACATCAACTTAGCATCACTTCCTCACAACAAGTTACCATGAGGATTTACCGTATGAGTGAGACAACCTCATAATTGTACTCATAAGTTCGATATAAAACATTAAGATGTACTCTAAAAATGTACTTTACACCTAATACCACATAAAGTACTCATGTTGTTTTCTTTACTAAATGTTTCAGATGTAAGAATTATGTTTTTATTTTCGGGTTTTTTTCAGGTTTGCAAACATGAGTAGATTTATCTCTTTAAAATCAGGACAAGACTCGCCCCCCCCCCCCCTTCATTTTTTTCACCTGACGATTAAACAACCTAACATTACCTGGGAGGGTTAGGTTAGGTTAAAGCAAGATTAAAATTACGGTGCGAAATAAGGTGCAAAGTCTAAATTTCAGGTGAACAGAAAAATCATTCTTAACATTCCTGAAAATCCACAAACTTTTCTCTTGGAATGCAGTGAAGTGGTGTAAACGCCCCAGTGCCTTACACCACCACGGGATAGTTGCCTGGCGATAGATACTGCGCAAGGTTACGTACAGTAGTTAGTAAATATGCGAGAAAAACTTGACCCAGTGAAAACGCATGAGGTCTGGCGTGGTGGTATATAATGGACAACGGCAGAGAGACCGACAGTCAGTTCCTCGTGACAACACAACACACACCATGAACACTAAGGTGAGTAAATCATCAGTGTTACAGTATTAGGTTAGAAAATTATCAAAGTGAATACCAGGTAAGAAGCTTCAGTAATTAGGAGCACAGGGATATAATGGACATAATTATACTACAGTAATATTGGAATATGAGTCGAGCAACGTAAATGCATTTCAAGTAGAAAGTGGAAGTGAGTTATCCTGAATTTATCGTGGCTAGTTACTGAGAGATGAGGTGAATGCATCATAATCGTATAAGGTTAACAATGAGGTAGTAAGCGACCAACATGACCAGTGAGTGTGGGGGTGAACTAAGGAGGTTAAGTTAACATTAGGTTTTGTGTACTTGTCCCCACACCGTGTTATTCGTCCATTAAAAACGTTATTGTGTTGAGATAATCACATTAACATCATCTTCATTTATTAACTCAAGGGGTTTATTTTAGTGGTTCTTGGGTCGTCACTTAAAGCTTTATAACGTTACGAGGGAAGCGGGAGCTGCCATAGACTTCACTTGTTATATTACTGTATATTGTTATTCCACTACCAGGCGAGGTTTGTTAGATATAAACACACAGTAATACAACTCCTACATATCGACAATTATGTATTCATTATATACTTACAGATCTTGATCGTGCTGGCCATGGCCGCCCTGGCAGCAGCAGACAGCCGGGAAGCCTTCTCTTATGCTGCCCCTCGGGTGAGTCACGAGAGAGAAGCTCTGTCTCTTACCGTTAAGAATTTCTTGTATATGAAAGACTTCGTTTGTAGTCATGTAAAAATCAATTCATAAAGGACCTTATGCTTCTGGGCAATCATTAACGTATCAGTTCAAGTTGTCACCTTTACCGTGATAATTAACTAGAGCTTTTACTCACAATCAATGAAAAAACAATTTATTTAGTTGTTATATAGTAGAAGAATATAATCTATAAATAGATCTAAATAGTTCTCAAAATAACTCTCGCGTTCAATTGTTTCAGCATTTTCATTCTCACTTTTTCTTATGCTGCAGGATTCCTCTGAGGAGTCGTATGAGTCTAGTGAGGCTCAGTACAACTTCAACTACGCCGTGAAGGACGACTCTTCCGACAACGACTTTGGCCACCAGGAAACCCGCGACGGTGACGACACCCAGGGGTCGTACTACGTGCAGCTTCCCGACGGTCGTCTGCAGACTGTGACCTACGTCGTAGACGGTGACTCAGGCTACATCGCTGATGTCAAGTACGACGGAGAGGCTCGCTACCCTGACTCTGACGAGTCCTTTGAGTCCCGGGAGGCTCCCCGCTACGCCCCTCCCAGGCCAAGCTACTTTGACTCCAACGAGTCCAAGTAGACTCCCGTCAAATCAGTCACAGTTGTGTCGACCACCGTCTCCTGAACTAGGCCCCCGACTGTAATTTATTTCAGCTATACATAAACACTGTAAATATTATTTAAATTATTTGAAATACAATTTAAGACCACTGCAACTTAAGTTTTTATTATGACATCCTTTTACGCCACAAGTGACCTTCATCACCCTATTGTCCTTCCCATCAAGGACTGAATGAGAAGGAATTGCTTTCTTCAGTTTACGACCATTTATTTAATATAATGTCTCTTCTTAATAAATTTATCCTCTAAAAGCTTACGAATAATCGGCGAGTCATTGCAGCTCATCTTGTTCGTCACTTAACCTAACTTAACCACAATAAGACAATGCTTGGGTTCATTTGTTACCACAACACGGCTCCATCTACCTCAAGACTCCTCAGCATTTGGTAAGTAGAGAGAACAAAGCAATCCTATCCAATAAGTCTACACTCTCTGGGAATCGAACTCTCTCTTACATGTTTGCGAGGCGAGTATGTTAACCCCTACACCAAGCAAGGGTAGCAGGGGAATAAAATTAAAATACGTGACTGAGATAACATCCACTCACACTTTATAAATACATGGAAGGGTGACACAACATGGCTCGCTGGTGTGGTTCAGGAGACTGTCTCTTAAAACCGGGAGAAATGGCTGTCAGTGGGAGGTCGTGTGTGTGTGTGTGTGTGTGTGTGTGTGTGGAAACTGGCTGGTCCCTGGGAGGAGCATGGGAAAGTGGTTCTGGACTGGTCTTAATGCAGCATATCATGACAGTAGTGTATTAAACTCTTTGTGATGATAAAGCTTATATTACAGCTGTTGTTGACCTTTGGAGTCAGTCGAGTGAGGTTAGGTAGGGTTAGGTTATTAGCACTGTGGTATCTTTTTTTTATTTTACGGAAATTAGTCCACCCGGGCACAGGTCGAACGACCCACAACAGGACCTGGAAGGCGAAAAAAATAAGAACAAAAATAAATTAAAAATAGAGAAGAAAAAGGTTATACTGTGTTAATCTACGCCACGAAGATGCCAGAAAACCAGCCTTTAAAGTGAGACAGATTGCATAAGTATGGAAACACAGAAGAAGGCAGAGCATTCCACAGTTTGGCTGTGTGGAAAGAAGGATGTACTATAACGGGTTATTCTAGTGTGACCGTCATCCACAGAAAAACGGTGGGCACCGCGGGCAAGAGGTGTGTTACGAGCCCAGGGTCTTGTTGGCGGTATACAGGATGCCAAATCCACCTAACATTTCCCGTTAAAGTACCTGTAAAAGAGAGAGAGAGTGAAGCAACATTGCGGCGAAGAGAAAGGGAAGAAAGATTGTCGACTAAAGGAGGAGAGTTAATATGGGGTAATTATTATTAGTAGTAGTATTATTGGTAGTTGTAGTACGTAAAAATATTAAGTGAAAAGAAAATGCAGTTACACTGAAGAAGTTTCAGTTACGTAATCAAAATATACGATTTTAAATTAACGATACTTTCTCATATACAATAGTGTTACTACCTAATGCATAATGGATTAGAAAATACCACACCCCTTTGTTTTAAATAACTCACCTATGAAATCATAAAATTACTTGGTGATGATAAGATTTCATAAGGAGACATAACACCTACGTGACAACATTGGGAAGAACAGTTCCTTGAGATAAGGTCACCAAGTGTGTTGAGGGAACAGGTGGTGGAGGCGCCCCACCCTGCTGCTGTAACCACTATCCTTGACCCTGTTCTAGTTACACCACTGTTGCCTGGACTATTCTCCATATACGCTGTGTTCTCTGCTGGCATATACAACCATCTTTATCGTTCTTTTAGCAAAATATATAAAAAAATCTTAGTTATGGTATTTTGTATATTTTTCTATGATATTGTACTTTTGTAGTTTTGATACATTGAATAAAAATTTTGGTAAGCAATGCCTCTGGCAATATATCAAAAACAGGATCGTTTTTATGTTGCAAGAGGGAATTCCGGACAAAAACCAGACCAGTCACGTCATGTGTGTTGGGTATAAATAGGAAGAACTCTCTCGTATCTTCAGTGTATCAACAGACAGAACACAGTCATGAACTCTAAGGTACTGAGTAGTGGAAGTATCTGATCTGTACTTGACTGTTAATAATGTAGTTTATAGTGGTAATAACGTGTCCTTTGTTAACGCACAATTTTCTCCAGGTTCTTCTTCTGCTGGGTGTGGTGGCCGTGGCTGCTGGTGACAGTCGTCCCTCCTACAGGGCCCCCTACGTAAGTGTTGGTTATTGTTGAGTTGTTTACACCTACTTCATATATATTTATGTATTATATCATGAAAGACTTATAGTATAGTTATGAGTTATATCATACATTTCTTTACTTATTTTAGGCTGCCTCCGCTGAGTCTTTTGAATCTTACGAGTCTAGTGAGGCTCAGTACAACTTCAACTACGCCGTAAAGCACGACCCCTCCGGCAACGACTTCGGTCACCAGGAGACCCGTGATGGTGACGACACCCAGGGGTCGTACTACGTGCAGCTTCCCGACGGTCGTCTGCAGACTGTGACTTACTTCGTGGACGGTGACTCAGGCTACATTGCTGATGTCAAGTACGATGGAGAGGCTCGCTACCCTGACTCATACGAGTCCTTTGAGTCTTTCGAGTCTCGGGAGGCTCCCCGCTATGCCCCTCCCAGGAGGGTTTATGGTTGAGTCTTGTGTGTCCAGAAGACGTCCACAGCTTAAGGCTGACACACTGTATGTCGCCTTACATAGGATGAATGTGTGATATATTTATTTTATTGTATTTGGTGCTTTCATGAAGATCATTAAAAGTGGATTACTATGAACCTTATTAATATATCCTTTCAGTTATTAGTGTTTAGTGTTAGTGCCTTATTAACATCCAAAATTTGGACAATAATGTTGAAATTTTGTATTTATCATTTGCTATATTCGTACACAACAACTGTCAGAAACTATGCTTGGTGGTTCGGTTGAAGGCAATTGGACTTAATGAACTGCACTTAACAATCCTGGACACTGAATCATCCGAATTATACAACAGCAAAGTAAAAATGTAATTTATCTAAAGACTAATAGCTATGAACAGGAAATCAAACCACTAATAGATAAAAAAAAGTGCCAGGGATTTTAGATGTAGAAAGTTGTCCCTTAAGTTTATCTGGGAGTCGTTCCTCTGTGCTCGAAGGCGTAAAGGTTTCGGTCACTAGGAACAAGTTACATATATCACTGCGAATAAATCTAACACCTAACAAAAGAGTTTTATCCTATATCTTGAATTATACAAGTTTGTTCAGGAAGTTTATTCTCGCATGCCATATTATCAGCTTCCTGTGTCATCGGTTGAGTAAGATCGACATTACGAGTTAACTCACTGCCGCTGTTGATAAAATATGAGTTAACTTAATGGTTAATTGGACGTTTATTACTGTTATCAACTTTCATTAAATTGATAGAAAATTATTTTGTCTTGGGAAGGTTTAATGATACAAATTCCACTGTTTGACTTAACGGAACATTGTTAAGCAATTGGTGAAACATTAAATAATTATTTAACTTTTGTAATTGCATTTTTATTTTTTTTATTTATAAATATCTTGTGGTGAAATAACATATTTCGTTATTGTTGAATAGATAATGATATTAAAAGCTGCCTCGAAGTGAAGTATTTCCCTAATTGAAATTGAAACATTTTATTGACAAGTGTTAAATCAAAGGAACAGGATAGTGTTATCCTTTTTAGGGCCAACAGAAAGTCATAAATATCGATATACACAGATCTGAAGTGGCGTCCACACACACACACACACACACACATCTACACAAAGAAAGATAATGGAGAACATATAGAGAGAGGTTGAACTAGTTTTAATAGAAGATAATCTCCGTCAATACGTAATACGTCCTCCCAAAATAACAATGCGTGATATATATGGATACTCAATTGGGTTGCTGAAGTAGGTATTAGACTAACTGTATCTATTATCATAACTAAACACTGTCTTCTGTGTTGACTTCTGTAAGAGTTAAGGTAAATAGTGTGTTGAGGTATTGTTAGTGGTGGAGGACTGTCATCAACACACCAGGTGATGTTAGTGGTGGAGAACGGTCATCAACACACCAGGTGATGTTAGTGGTGGAGAACGGTCATCAACACACCAGGTGATGTTAGTGGTGGAGAACGGTCATCAACACACCAGGGGATGTTAGTGGTGGAGGACTGTCATCAACACACCAGGTGATGTTAGTGGTGGAGGACTGTCATCAACACACCAGGTGATGTTAGTGGTGGAGAACGGTCATCAACACACCAGGTGAGAGTGGTGGAGGTGTCATCAACACACCAGGTGATGTTAGTGGTGGAGGACTGTCATCAACACACCGGTCATCAACACACCACTGTCATCAACACACCAGGTGATGTTAGTGGTGGAGAACGGTCATCAACACACCAGGTGATGTTAGTGGTGGAGGACGGTCATCAACACACCAGGTGATGTTAGTGGTGGAGGACTGTCACAACACACCAGGGATGTTAGTGGTGGAGGACTGTCATCAACACACCAGGTGATGTTAGTGGTGGAGACTGTCATCAACGGTCATCAACACACAGGGATGTTAGTGGTGGAGAACGGTCATCAACACACCAGGTGATGTTAGTGGTGGAGAACTGTCATCAACACACCAGGTGATGTTAGTGGTGAGAACGTCATCAACTTTTAGGTGATGTTAGTGGTGGAGGATCAACACACCAGGTGATGTGGTGGAGGACTGTCATCACACCAGGGATGTTAGTGGTGAAGGGACTGTCATCAACACACCAGGGGATGTTAGTGGTGAAGGACTGTCATCAACACACCAGGATGTTAGTGGTGAAGGACTGTCATCAACACACCAGGGGATGTTAGTGGTGGAGGACTGTCATCCAACACACCAGGTGATGTTAGTGGTGGAGAACGGTCATCAACACACCAGGGGATGTGTTAGTGGTGGAGACTGTCATCAACACACCAGGTGATGTTAGTGGTGGAGAACGGTCATCAACACACCAGGTGATGTTAGTTACTGTCATCAACACACCAGGTGATGTTAGTGGTGGAGACGGTCATCAACACACCAGGTGATGTTAGTGGTGGACTGTCATCAACACACCAGGGGATGTTGTGGTGGAGGACTGTCATCAACACACCACCAGGTGATGTTAGTGGTGGAGGACTGTCATCAACACACCAGGGGATGTTAGTGGTGGAGGACTGTCATCAACACACCAGGTGATGTTAGTGGTGGAGAACTGTCATCAACACACCAGGTGATGTTAGTGGTGGAGGACTGTCATCAGCACACCAGGTGATGTTAGTGGTGGAGGATGCATCAACACACCAGGGGATGTTAGTGGTGGAGGACTGTCATCAACACACCAGGGTGATGTTAGTGGTGGAGGACTGTCATCAACACACCAGGTGATGTTAGTGGTGGAGGACTGTCATCAACACACCAGGGGATGTTAGTGGTGGAGGACTGTCATCAACACCAGGTGATCTTAGTGGTGGAGAACGGTCATCAACACACCAGGGGATGTTAGTGGTGGAGGACTGTCATCAACACACCAGAGGATGTTAGTGGTGAAGGAATGTCATCAACACACCAGGGGATGTTAGTGGTGGAGGACTGTCATCAACACCAGGTGATTTTAGTGGTGGAGGACTGTTCCTTATAACAAATCCATCCCACTTCCATTATCATCACTGCCATGTTCTAATATTTTTTTAACATTTATTCCACTTCGGCGAATTCTGCATCATCTTTCTCTTCATTCATTCCTCACTGCTACGTCTTCCACTGATGTCTATTAAATAATTTTCCTTACTATCTTTCCCTGTGATGTGGGAGGCTTGGCATGTGTGTCTTATCTGGTCGGGAGTACTAAGATTCTGAGGCTAAAGGATTATCAGAGCCTACATGTCAAGAGCCTTAGAGTAAGTCTTTTTGGATAAATTTGTCCAAAAAAGTGTTTAGAATACCTCATTAAAGTCGCCAACTTAACTAAAAACTACACATTAACAGGTAAGTTTGATAGAATTAAAAACACTTAGATATACAGCAGGTAACCGAGCCAAAAGTAATGGACTTCCTTGAAAATGGTCCCGAAAAAATTTATATAACGCAAAATTTTCGAAAAAAACATAATATTTGTGCCAAGTATATTTCTTTCCTTTGATGAAGAAATAATAAGGAATTATCTCCTAGTTCCTGAAAACCACGAAATATGTTTTACTTCTACAAATATATAAATGAAAATGATTCTTCGGTGCTTATAATAACAATTAGATTATAAAATATTACATAATCAAGAGGCAACGTGACGCAACACTTACTCTGGGTTAAGGGCGCTGTTTGGTATCATTATTACAAGCCGGAATTCCTGACAGTAAGTTGACCAGTCACGTTATGTGTGTTGGGTATAAATAAGGAAGCAGGCGGTGTTCTCTGCAGTCGACCAACAGACACAACACAGTCATGAACTCCAAGGTACTGTCTACTGTGAGTATCAGACCACCAGTTCACTTTCAATGCTGCAATAATATTTTACTGACAATGAATCTTGTATAACTTGTAATATTCTCTCCAGGTCCTCCTCCTGCTGGGTGTGGTGTCGTTGGCTGCTGCCGACAACCGTCCCTCCTACTCCTACGCCGCCCCTCACGTGAGTGTTAAATATTGTTGTTACTTATGATGTTATTTAAAAGAACTTGATGTACAATCATTTAAGGTCTTGAGAATAATAAAGCTTTTTCTTATCATAGGGTTCCTCCGAGGAGTCTTATGAGTCTAGTGAGGCTCAGTACAACTTCAACTACGCCGTGGAACATGACCCTTCCGGCAACGACTTCGGTCACCAGGAGACTCGTGATGGTGACAACACGCAAGGGTCGTACTACGTGCAGCTTCCCGACGGTCGCCGCCAGACTGTAACTTACTTCGTGGACGGTGACTCAGGCTACATTGCCGATGTCAAGTACGACGGAGAGGCTCGCTACCCTGACTCCTTCGAATCCCGGGAGGCTCCCCGCTACACCCCACCCAGGCCAAGCTTCTCCAGGTCATTCGAGTCCTTTGAGTCCCGGGAGGCTCCTCGCTTTGCCCCTCACAGGTCAAGCTTCCCCAGCTCCTTCGAGTCTTCCAGCTCCTCCGAGTCTTTTGAGTCCCTGGAGGCTACTCGCTACGGTCCACCAAGGAGAGTGTACGGTTGAACTTGGTGTCTTCTGGTGCTGATGTTGACCACCGCCTGCATGTACTAGTGTTATGATAGAGTTTCAATTATGTATTATCTAAAGTTGTATGAGATCTCCATAATTTATTAAATTATTATCACATCACTTATAGTTTGATACCACCTGATATATACTGAGTCACTTCTCTACATGTCGCTAAGGCTCTTGACTCCAGCCGATGACGCTACTGTTTGTTCATCTTAACCCTGACGAGATAAGCTGATGGCTGCCTCTTGGTTTTACTACTCAAGATTTGTCCACATTTCACAGCCTGATCAAAGATCTGTCCTGCTCATTCATTTAATTAATAAAATTGTCTCCAAGATTTAATTTTGAATAAGACACCTCAGTTTATTTGACCTGAATATTAGACACCCCATTTTATTTGGATGGAGATTAAACACCAAAGCTTAATTAGCTTATTAGGCCTGAAGATTAGATACCTCAGCTTATTTGTCCTGAAGATTAAATACCTCATCTCATTTGTCTTAAAGATTAGACACCCCAGGTTATTAAGCTTATTAGGCCTGAAGATTAGAAACTCCATATT